GTGTGTGTGTGTGCGTGTGTGTGTGTGTGTGTGTGTGTGTGTGTGTGCGTGTGTGTGTGTGTGTGTCTGTCAGTCTGGCGGTCTATCGGTCTGGAAGTCTGTCTCTCTGTCAGTTTGTCGGTGTGTGTCGGTTTGTCTGTCGGTGTGTGTGTCTGTCTGTCGGTGTGTGTGTTTGTCTGTCGGTGTGTAAGTTTGTCTGTCTCTCTGTCTTGCTGTCTGCTCGTTCATGTCTATCCGTCCGTCTGTCTGTCGGTCTGTCTGTCTATCTGTCTGCCTTGCTGTCTGTTAGTTTGTGTCTGTCTGTCTGTCCATCCGCCTGTCTGTCTGTCTGTATGTCTGTTTGTCTGTCTGTCTATCCGTGTATGCGTGTCTGTCAGTCTGTCTGTGTGTCTGTCCGTCTGCTTGTCCGTCTGTCGGTCTGTCTGTTTGACTGTCTGTTTGACTGTCTGTTTGGCTGTCTGTTTGTCTGTTTGTTTGTGTCTGGTCAACAGCTGCCACGTCAGCACCTGGCACGTCAGCAGCTGCCACCTCAACAGTTGTCTGTCTGTCTCTCTGTCTGTTTGTCTGTCTATCTGTCTGTCTCTCTGTCTGTCAATCAGTCTGTCAATCAGTCTGTTTGGCTGCCTGTCTGTTTTTCTGTTTGTTTGTTTGTTTGTTTGGCTGTCTGTTTGGCTGTTTGGCTGTCTGTCTGTCTGTCTGTTTGTGTGTTTGGTCAGCAGCTGCTACGTCACAACTGCCACATCAGCAGCTGCCACCTCAGCAGCGGTCTGTCTGTTTGTCTGTCTGTCAGTCTGTCTATTTGGTTGTCTGTTTGGTTGTCTATCTGTATGTCTGTCTGTTTGTGTGTCTGGTCAATAGCTGCTACGTCAGCAGCAACCACCTTAGCATCTAACGTCAGCAGCTGTCTGTCTGTCTGACAGTGTGTATCTGTCTATGTGTCTGTCTATCTCTCTGTTTGTCTGTTTGTCTGTCCGTTTGGCTGTCTGTCTGTTTGTCTGTATGTCTATCTGTCTGTTTGTCTGTTTGTCTATCTGTAAGTCTGTGTGCCTGCTCAGCTGCTGCTATGTCAGCAGCTGCCACATCAGCTGACATGGCGGGGG